CCCAGTACACACACAAAACACCCTCCAGTACAGTAGTAATGAGGGTCTCTATTCCATCTCTGAGCCGTTTTCCTCCCTCCCCAGAGTTCTGTCTTCACTGAGAATTGAAGAGATTTAAATGCCCTTCAGCTCTGACTAAATCATTCTGTTCTGGAACTTAACTTATACATGTTATTATGTTTTCCTCAAGGTATTGTCAATGCTGAATAACATAAGCTCATGGCTTAAGGTGATTTCATTAAACTGTACATGCACAAATATAGAGAATCTAGTAAAAACACACTATTAACTTTGAGGAAAATACAATATTATCATTTGCAACATGGTGGCCGTATCAGGTAAATCTCAGGTCCTCATTATATGTCTACAATGAGTAAATGCTGAATTTATAAAGCAAAGTCTGCTGTGCTAAAACCCATCTCTGAAGTCACCAGAATTTATTCGGACTTTTCTGTGTGAAAGGACAGCGTGCAGCTTGACCTGGCTTTCTCTCAGCTGTATTTCATTCACAGCTGGAGCCAAAGCTGCCAAAACAGGCAATGGGTCTCCAGGCTCAAGAGTTATTTAACTCCCACAGAGACAGAATGGCATCGGAACTCAGAAGCAGGAACTGGAGCCTAGCTAATGCCCAACAAAGATGGGCATAGTGAGGGGCTGAAAGCAGTCTAATAACAACCAACTGTGGCCTTCTGGAGGCCTTTCATCCATTTGTGTGCCACATTTTAAAGACAGAATAGGCTTGCTTCCTGTCTTGGAGGCTGTTTCAATATTAGTATCCTTTAGTGATTCATTGCATGAATAATATTCATAGGCAGAGTTGGTTGGGGAGATCTAATATTTGGATGCAGTAATGGAGTGATACAGTATAAGGCTTCGTCTACATTAATCCGGATACATTTGAAAACGCAACTGCTTTCATGTTTTGCAGCAGGACAGCAATTGCACCAGCCATTCACATTAACATGGGCAATTTCGGGACAAATCTTGCCATTTTGTGGGCAATAAGCATCAGACTGTCATTAAACAAATGGTGGGCGGTCCTTGAGTGTGCCATCTAAGGGTGAGACCAAAGGCCTGTTCACACCGGGATGAATTTCGTGTGCGATATTTGCCGACATTTAACGTCTCATGACTAAACAAAGGGCGCCAATGTGAGAGTGCACACCGACGCGAAAAACGCAATGCATAAAAGCGTCATTTAAAAAAAAAAAAAACGCCTCGCGCCGCGTCAAAAACTACCCGACCGATGAGATTGGCGCTTTTTCTCATGTGTCTGGAGCTTTTGGAGTTACAGTAAAACACAACTTGGGGGCACTCAAACACAAAACGGTCTTGCCGAGCAGCGAGCACACATACGTAATGGCGAAGAAGAAGATATACGCCAAGTAGCGTCTTCACTGCCGGGAAGAAATGAGACAAGGAAGATGCACGTAGAGCTGTTGGTCTCGCTGGTGTCGGAACATAAAGAACTATTATGTCAAACGCGACAGTGACTACAAAAACCTTGATAAAAGAGAGCTGTTATGGAGTGGTATTGCAGAGCAAATGGACGCCATCTAATGTCAGTCGGCTCATCGTCCGCGAAAAATCGCTTGTATGTGAACACAAAAAACGCTTTGAAAAACGCTGGCGAATAACGCGTGCCGATTATTTTGCAGGTCTAGCTCTAGCCCTATGGCCTACAGGGATGTTAAACATCAATATGTATTCTCTGGACAGTATTTGCATGAATGCATGCAACAGTCAGACAGCCCAGACTACAAAATATCTGAAGGGTGTTTTACTGACACATGGTGAACAGAGAGCAGAGCTGAAGGGGAGGCCAAGGAGAGTGTGCTGTCGCACTAAAGTTAAATAAATCTTCTCTGTCTGCATAGAGGTTGTCAAGAGCTAGCCAAATATTCCATTTAATCATTTAACATAATTAGAGAGAGCAAGACTTTTAGTTTTAATCATAGACCTGAGAACACTCCAGACAATTCCCAAAGTCTTATTAACATTCTCCTGTTTATTTCTAATAATATCACATAGCATAATTATAACTATTTGAGAAGCTGTAAATCAACCAACCACAAAACAACTTAATACCAGCCTCTCACATCTTCGGCATGTATCAATTTAGGACATCCTACCAGACTGGTTGGTTAAATACAATGAATGTGATTACATGGTCAACATTCAGCCAATCTATCTGTATATTTCACAGACCATAACTGCTGAAACAAATTATGCCTAAAGAAATTGAGCATCTAACATATGAATCTGTAATATAGGCAATATAAAGGAAACAATAAATACTACAAGCAAGAGGCAATTAGATTATGAAGAAAATATACACTATGGTTCATTAGTTTGGGGTCAGTAAGATCTTATAATAAATGTAGGTCTATATTTTTATTCAGCAAGGATGCATTAAATTGATCAAACGAGACAGCAAATAAATACTGTCTTTTAAACTGTTTATTCATCAGGGAAAATAAATGCATCACGGTTCCAAAAGAATAAGCAGGACACTGCTTTCAACATTGATAAGAATAAGAAATCAACATTGATAATAATTAGGTTTCCCTGGCAGCAAAAAGCAACCTATTTTGAATGATTTCTGAAGGATCATGTGACACTGAGCAGACTGTGGTAATGATGCTAATATTCTGCTTTGCCATCACAGGAATTATAAACTAAATTTAAAACTTATTTTAAATTGTAAAAATATTTCACAATATTACTGTTTTTCCTGTACTTTTGATTGAATAAATGCAGCCTTGGTGAGTATAAAGACTTAAAACTGTAAATATGCAAATGCAAAATGGCTTGCAGTGCATTCGTAAATGATACACATCTGAAAGATGCTGCTGAAACTTTTAATCGTATCATGTATTTCCAACTGTAAATCTATTAATCTTACATAATATTTACTGGACATCTGGATGACTGAGCATTTAGAGGAGAGAGAAAAAAGAAAAGAAAAATAGGCACATAACAGAAAGTTTAGAAACAAGAAGGCTATGTTTTTCAAGACCATAGCTACCATAGTGGATGTGCATAAAACAATAATCATCCTCCAGTGGAAATGAAGACACTTCCCCCAGACATAAGTAGACAGAGTGCAGTTGCATCATACTTATTATATAACTCTCTATATAATGCTGACTTTAAGATCAATGTTTTATAAACTGAATGAGATGGTAAGGAATCTGATCAATGGCAGCAAACTGAAAGACATTAATAAGCCAACACTGACATAAAGAGAGGATGGAGCAACAACTTGTGTCTGGGAGGCATGTGGGGCTGGGCCTGGTAAGAGGGAGGGAATGAAGTAGTGAGGGAGGGATGAAAGGAGGCTGTGGGAGGAAAAAGGGAAAGAGAGAAACAGATGCAAGTAACTCAGGCCGACAAACTACATGCACGCAGGAAGCCGGAGAAGATACAGGCTCTTTCTATAGATGATTGCAGAATACAGAGGGTGGCCAACTCAAAACCAAAGGAAAGGTAGGAAATTAGCCTCAATAATTTGGAGTCAGACATTGAGATGAAAATAATAATAATTATGATCTATTTTATTTTCATACTGAATAAACAAGTATATTGTCATGATTTATGTATAGAAATAGGCTATAATTGTGTAAAGTACACAGATAGATAGCGGTCTGTTTGTGTCTTTTGGAGATACATGGAAGTAAGCAAGTGTATGTACGAGCAGCATTAAATGAATGAATGTCCTTGTATGCAAATACAACCAAGGCCTCTCTCTGGTTGATTCGGTTATGGTTAAACAGGCAAGACAACACGCACACAAACCTCTGAATGCTTTAGGACAGCTGTAAACATTCAACATGGAGGGAGAGCTGAAAATTAGACACGTGGATGTTAGAAAAAGTAATATGATGGAGAAAGATCTCAGATAGATGCAATTTCATGCCTCACTGCTAACACGATGCGACTTGCCAAACCCTTTAGGCGTGCTAGTATAATTCCAAATCAATCAACATATAAATGTTACAAATAAACTAAAGACTATAAATGTAATGCATGTGCTCTTACACAACACACAAATATTTACAATGCAGTCTTTAGTCTTGAGTGATGTCAGTCTCACAAAAAGATTCAGATCAGACACTGGTGATTTAACACTTAGACTTCTTCTGTCCATTATCTGCTTGAATCACAGCTCATTTTAGTTTGAATGGCACAGTCTCATTCATTAGAGCCTAAATTGCAGCTTACATTCCTTTAGGCTTAACTACAAACGGTGGTTTGAGTTCTTAGTGAAATTTTACAAGCATCCACGAACCGCTTCCTGTTTGAGTGGCGGTCTTCTAAAGAGTTTCATACTGGAAAATGGAGCCAGGCGGTCCAATATTCATTACTCTTATCAGCATTTCACTTATCATGGTGTCATTGGACAAATGAATATTTATTCACATGATGATCTATGTATGAGTTTCCTAAAAGGCCTAAAAGTGATCTTTGGCTGGTTAATGGTTGAGTTTTGGATGTTCGTTTGCGTTTAGTCTTGTTTATTTTGTGTTATTTGGTTCATTCAATCCTGCTGGTCTATTGCGAAAACACAGATTCAGGTTTTCCACTGGTATTGTGCCAAAATAATAATATATTTTCCCTTAAAAACAAAACAAAAAATTCTTGCAAAAGCTACAGCAATCTTTTGATTAAATCTTTCATCATGTTTAATGTTGTTTTAAACATAAAGGTTCTTAATTATTTCTTTGCAAGAACTTATAAAGTGCCTTGTTAATATGTAAAGAAAGTATTCCCAGTCTCAGTTCACATATAATTCTATGTAGGCTATAATGAAGGTAAACAGATTTGTTAGGGTGGCGCTCTTATTAGAACCTTTAATTTTAGTGTAACTTAGACTTGATAACCACTTCTGCCCACCTCACAGCCTACATAGACTATAAGTATAATGAATATTTAAAAACGAAAAAAAAAAAAAAAAACCGCTGTCACTTAAGCTTGTTGTCTTTGCATGTGCTTTGCAGATGTCATGGCGGCCGACCTACCGGAGCTCCAAGTTTCGAAACGTCTATGGCAAAGTGGCGAACCGAGAGCACTGCTTCGAGGGCATCCCAATCACAAAGAACGTCCATGACAACCATTTCTGTGCGGTCAACGCCAAGTTCCTCGCCATAGTAACGGAGAGCGCGGGAGGAGGATCTTTCGTTGTGATCCCGGTCACTCAGGTAACCACCACAGACGCGCGTGCACACCACTAGTGTTGACAGTTTGCCAGAGACTTGAACAATCAGGAGCATGAATGATGCTAATCTTTTTAAGAGGCTTATTTTGAGTCACATAGGTGTCGGTAATGGGTTCACAATGTTTTACAATGTGAAAAACAGTCAAACAATTTACGTGTTTATAAGTCTTGTTAAAAGGGTCATCCTAACATGGATTTTTGTTTTATTTTAATATGTTCTATGAGGTTCGCCTTAATGTTAATACAGTTTTTACAAACAAAAACAGATAATGCGGGAAAAAAAAGTTATTAACAGTCAAAGCATATGAAGTAGTTTAGGCCTAACAGTAGCCTACGAAATGGCTGCTAGCTGCCTGCTTCATCTTTCAACAAAAGTTTCTTTTTAAACGCTAATGACAGTGAGATATAGACTAGTGTATTATATATAGCCTATATATATATATATATATATTATAATTAATTGTGGGTGATTTAATAAAAATAAGTATTTTGAACAAACAAATTAGATTATCACATTAAAGTAATGGATACGTTTTATAGAGAGGATATCAGCACACTGAAGATAATGGAAATTCCTGTGTTAAGAAATAATATAAATTATTTAGAGCACTTGCTTCCAGACTGAAGTTCCAGTCAGAGCAAACATCAAACCCTTCATACAATATATCTATTTATTTATTCCAGGTATTTATTTAAGTATTTCAGGCAAACCCAGCTGCAGGACATGTTCCTGAAAGAGTGCATCTTAGTAATCTGTGTAAAGTGAACTTGATACAACATGCTAATCATTTTACAGCAATTATGCATAAAGTCTGTCTAAAACATATAAGGACTGCTAATGGATGCTTGTACAAATTCACATTTACATTAATTTGTGCAGAGAACATGAGCAGTGGTTACTGAACAGTGGAAAAACATAGATGAGTCATTCCTTGCCCTGTTCTTATAAAAGCACATGTGGTGCACACTTAAAGGAACCCACTGGCCTCTCACTCTCTTTCTGTTGAACTATTTAGTTGCCTCTGTTGTAGTGCAGTATGCATTATTGTGATTTAGGTTTCCATTTCACCAATATACAGTATACAGGCCTTTTATGTGATCACCTACATGCTGTTCTGAACAAAATGATATCTTTCAACAGGTATTCCTTCCAGAGAGAACATTAATTAGCCAAATGTGTTGTTATTGCCCTATCCCCAGTAAGGTCATTGATGTACAGTTTAATCATTTGGAAGACCACAAAGGTTTGTTTTTGCATCTTTTAAGAGCAAGTTGCTATCTATCACCCTCTGAGCTTGAATTACTTCATAGACTATTCCATAGAGAAAGACTCCATAGTCTTTCCTTGTTGTTGAAAAGTTAATTAACTTGTGTGTTTTCCCATATTAGTTATTGTAATGCCTTGTTAACTGGAGTGTCAAAAGCTACCCCAAACAAATTGCTGGTAGTGCAAAACTCGGCTGGTAGAACTACTAAACTAAGCTCTACTAGAACCGGATAAGATCGCATCCCATTTTGGAGTCTCTGCATTGGCTCCCCGTTAGGTTAGGGGTAGACTTTAAAATTCTGATACTTACTCACAAGGCTTTACATGGGTTGGCACCTCAATACTTGACCAAACTTTTAATTCTCCAACACGTGACCTTCGTTCATCTGAAACTGGTCTTTTAATTGCTGCTTTAACTGGCTTACAATAGATGGGAGATGGGGCTTTTTCTTCAATAGCTCCAAAACTATGGATTTTTTTTACCAATTTTTTTTAAATTTTACTTTAAAACTCATTTTTAGGGTAGCTTTTAATTGAATATTTTTATAATTTGTTTATTGTGTGTTTTTTATGGTTTATTTTTGTTGTTTTATTGGTTTCAGTAAAGAGCTTTGAGATGTACAGTTAAATATACTATAGAAAATTATTATTAATATTATTATCATTATTATAATAGAACCATGAAGTCATTCACCCAGTGGCTTGACATGCTTTAAATTAAAGCTTTCTCTGACCCTCTTTACAGGCTGACCAAAAAGCCTGAATATAGTGATCAGAAAGCAGATGATTTTCCTTTAATCTCTGGCTTTGATTCTGTAAAATGGACAAGCTAGCTGCTGATCACTGATGTTGATATAGCAGTAATGTAGACCACAACGATGTGGACACCAGTGTGCTCTGGCTGGAACAGAACAGCTTTATGACTGCTTAAGGAAGACAGGGTTTCTGAAGATGAATGAGATTTCACACACAAAAAAAAATATATATATATATATATCCTGTCATCATTTACTCACCCTCATGTCATTCCGACCCTGTACGACTTTATTTCTTCTGCAAAGCAAGATTTTTTGTTTTGTTTGAAGAATGTTGTTAACCAAACAGTTTTGGTCACCATTTGCTTCCATTATATAGTAAAATATTTTCCACAGAAGAAAGTCATACAAGTTTGGAGCAACATGAGGGTGAGTGAAAAATGAAATCAGTTTTAGTTTAACTATCCCTTTAAGTTATTTTCTTTGTTTTGAAAAACCATGATCCTAAGGAGACAAAATGCAAGTGAATTTAAATGTGCCTCCAAATTCCACCTTCACAGCAAGTGGCCAAACTGCAAGAATAGCACAGACAGAAAAAAATGACACATACACTATTTATCACTGACATGACAATGAGAATTTTTGGCACAGATCCTTTGATGTCCCATTCTTCGCCCCAGTCATCTCCTCTCTTTATTCTGCCTATTCTTCTGTTCCTCCTCTTGAGCGTATCCGGTCATGCTACATTGCCCAGTGGGCCTGCAGACCCTCGGTCATGCTCTCAGCCAACTTGGATAAACTATCAATAGCACTTTTGTGATGAACACTCAGAGTCACCCAGTTAAAGTGTCACGTAGAAGGCCAGCTTTGTGCTCTTCATGGGCTCATTCCAGTGTTTCTGACTCCAACTGGGCTCCCATACAGGCCATTAAAAAGCCCCTCTGACTTCAGCATGTGTGTTTCTCTGGACACCACGTGGGGATCTGTTTTTCCCAGCTTCTTCATCCTCCATCTCCCTTGCATCTCTTTCTCTCTTTCTGCCTAGCATTGACAGCTCCCAGCAAAGTTTGCATGAATACTGTAATACTAAGAAGTTCACTATCACTGAAATCAGCATAGAGATAATAGAAATCACTGTAAAGCTATTAATAAGTGATAAGTTCAACCTCACTTGCATGATAGGTCTAACTAGTATACAAACATTTTTGATTATAGCCAACTTTTATTCTTAAAGTAACAACTTTTGCATTTGTTGTAATTTGTGTATAGCTCATTAAATGTCTCTAATGCTTTTATTCAAACCAAGGCATTAGTCTGAATAAGTCTATTTTGCAGGGACAACTGTCTGATTAAAGAGGATCAGCAGTTCTCATAATACATCTGAGATATAGACACATGGGAAAAATATAATGGCAGAACATTGGCTTTTCAAATGGAATTCCTCATCTGACAAAGGAGCTTCAGTTGTGGAATGGAAACTGCATTCAGAAACCAAGATGAGATGGCCCAGGGAAAGAGAAAAAAAGAGAGCATGAATAGAAGACTGTGGTATTTGTGATGATGTCATCATTAACTGTTTAACCATTTGGAAATGAAACCGTTCCTTTCCTTGACCTCCTAATTTGCTGTTGACAGAAACTTCTCTGAATGGTAATGTGTGAGGTGGTGCTGTAATGGTTTTGGGGTGATATCAGAATTCTTAAAATAATTCAGAACCCCCATCTAAAAGGCTCAAGCAGTCAGGAGCACACACACACACACACACACGCACACACACACACACAAAAGAGGGAGTTGGGCCATCTGGCAACACAGATAGGAAACTGCCAACCATTTTAGACTTACCAACATGCACGAATTGCTTTTAACTGGACCCACACCCATTTTAATAATGCCTCAGTTAACATACAGTAAACTCAGAAAACTGAAATGCCCTTTGTTTAGAATTTTGTTCGGGAACCTTGGAAAATTTTGGCCTTGGAAGAAGCAAAATAATTTTTAACAGTCTAGACTTTAGAAAATAGTAGCACTGGCCATGTCATTTCGACTTTCAGAGGATCTGTAATTCTACAGAAAAACTCCATAGTCATCTTTCTCTCTCTGAATATCTAACAGAATATTAATGTATTAAACTGCCAATCATCAGTTTGAAGTAATTCATTAATTTGTAAAAATATCCTATTATTATGCATATATTATGCGCAAGCAAGCTATCTTATATTAATGTTAGTTAAAAATGCTGATTTTTGTAAGTATATTTTGTATTTATTTATTTATTTTTTTGTAGAAAAATGTTGTCTCTGCCGCTTATATTCTAGCGCATCCAGATTAGTCAGATAGTGAGTCATTACTCATGCGATATTGTATTTAGCATATTATGTAGAAAGAAAAACGACTTTTAATGCGGGATCAGTGAAATCATAATATTATCGTAATCGAACATGAACTTCTTTATAGCTGTAGTCTATACAGTAGACACTGATTGGAGCAGAAAAGATTTTACAGCACACTCTATGGACTGTTTCATAATAATGATATATTGACTCCATATTAGATGTAGATACTGAATAGACACTAATGGGAGTGTGTCACAGCAAAGCCTTGTAACTTCTCTGCTAAGGATGTTAAATTTGTGCCCTATAAGACAACACCTTTTTTTATTTGTGCTATTAGAGTTATGGCAGTCTAGAGGCACATCCACTGACATCATAATTAGTGTAATCACATGGCTGTTCCTCACGCATCATTGTGCTGCTCACAATAGAGGGTGTGGCTAAATATAATTCTCTCCTTTTGTCTCTGACTCTAAGATCTCAGACAGCGACTACTCAGTCTGATCTGCAGCCAACACATCTATTTCCACAGCCACTCGCTGCCAACACACACACACACACACAAAAGAAGAGCAATAAACAGCAAGTGAAAAATAATGAATAATTAGAGAGCAGAAACAGAGAAGCAAAGACAATGTGTAAAATGCAAAAGCATCTCTTTCAAAACTTTTTTCTGTGCATATGTGAAAATGTCCCTCAGAAAAAATCATGCATAATCATGATATTAGATGTTATGATGTTTAAATGCAATTCACTTATCATTATGCATACATTTAATGCAATTAAGAGATCATTAAAGTTGTCATATTGTACATTGATTCATTACATTGATAATGTTAGTTTTGGTTAAGTAATACTTTTTCCATTTTTGTGCTGCTGTGCTGTTAATAACGCTCTGTTTGCCCATTTTTCATCTTAGTAATAAAAATGTATGTTTTGGAATACAGGGTGCCCAACAATATGATTTAATAGTGCATCTTTTATCACAAAAAGTGCACAAATTTTTATTAATTTCTCACATTGTTATCATGATGTGAGAGGCAATGATGAGCTGTTCGAATAAGCACAAGATCAGTCTGAGAGCTATATTTAGTCTTGGAAAACACCTTGACAAATCAGAAATCCTCACATGCAGGCAAACATATGAGCAACAAACTATAACCGATTGCTTTGGCCACAATAGTTAAAGGCTTTAGCATTTTAAAATCGGCCATTTTCAGTGTTCTTATGAGTTTTGATCTCCTGTGGGAAATCAAGACATTTCCTTGCCCAAGAAAATTATATTAAAAAAACACCCCTCGAGCAATCGCTGTGCTAATTTAATGCCATATAACACAGATTTCCATCATGCTAATCTAGTAGAATAGCACAGAGAGCACAGACATGAATATCCAGCCAAGAAGCCACATGCTGTTCTGTTCTTGACCAAGAATTCAAAATTTTACTAAATTTTTTCAACAATGAAATGACTTCTCTGATATCACAGCACTAACAGGACTATATCACTGCACTGAAGCCCTGACAGCAGCCCACTCAGGGTGCACTCGTGCATGACCTGAACTACAAATCCCAAAGGACCTCAGAAAGAGGTCAATGGACTAAAGTGGCATCAAACATTCATGGCATCATGGGTGCTTCTCAATATCCCTCCTCGTCTCCTCTCTCCTCCGTCCTTCATCCAATAATGACCCGGAAACCGTTCAAGCTTAGCCATCTTGAAGGACATCTTAATTCTCGAATTGTACCGCGAGGATCGAGGAGTGAGGAGGCTTCCTGAGGAATAATGGGTGAGGATGCACGAATGTATCCTTTGCGGAAGTGTTTTATCAACTAAACGTGACACTTATATATTCTCCTCCCCCTTCACATCGGTCACAATCATTAATCTATACTTTACCTTTGCAGTTTATATAAACCACACATCTCACATAGGCTACTTAAACAGGGTCTCTTGCTTTATTATCATTTATTACTAATTTCTTAAAAAAAACAACTTCAGCAACATAAGGGCAGATCCTTTGAGCGCTGCTGATGACGGTATGAAGTGACGCTCGAGTGATCAAGTATTCCAATGTATAAAAAGACTTTCATTCGATTCCTCTGTCCTCATTTTCTTTCCTTGCAGCCTTCCCTCGCATCCTGCAGGGGGTGGAGCTGAGACGCAAGGAAAGGAAACGAGTATGCACAAATAAGAATTGAGAAGCACCCTACCATTCTGTCTACTGCTGAATTTCTGACTGTAGTTATGTAGCTCCATACAGTGGACGTTTGTGTGTATTACAATGGAGCTGTTTGAATGTTTTCAACTATCCATATCTATCTGTCTTCCTATGTGTATCCATACATTATTTTATTTGTGTAAATAAAACCATTAGATCAGTAACCTGTACTTTCCACCCGCAGTTTGGCCGTATCGACCCTCACTATCCAAAGGTCTGTGGTCACCAAGGCAAAGTGCTGGACATCAAATGGAATCCTTTCCATGACAACATAATCGCGTCTTGTTCAGAGGACTCTTCTGTAAGTAAAATCCTCATGATGGTCAAATTAGTCAGCATCATTTAAAAAAAAAAAAAAAAACTGTGGAAACTTCTGTGCAGTGAAAACTTGTTTCAGTTTATTTTTGTTGTCATTAATGGAAAACCATTCACTTTTCATGATGTGGATGGTGAAAGAGTTTTACATTAAATTGAAATATCAAAATAACATGACCAAATATATCACTTAAATAGAAGTTTTATTTATAGAACTTAAGTCACATCAAGTATAGGGATTTATTAGGGAAGGGATAAATATTTAAATGCCATTTCAATGTGATTTTGATTTACATAAGTCATTTTAAGTGATCCTGCAAAATAAACAATAATTAACTAAAAAAGGAGAAATAATAATAGAAATTAAAATGGTTTGACATTCATTTAAAAAAATTTAAAACACAAAAAGATGTCAATAATACCTTGCAGAAAGTCATAACAGAGGTAGAACAAGTAAACACATTATTGTTCTTGTTGTTGTTGTTATTCTAGCTCTGATTGGATTATGATTGGAAAATCCAGTTATTTTAATGCTTCCGTGTTTGTTATAGCCTACATTGTATTTGTCCTATGAGACTGATTTAACCCTTTACGAAGTTATATAATTATAACTAACCTGACATTAGTGTCTTTAACCTTCTTTATATACTGTAGTTGATTTAAAAGTGATTTTTTTTTTTAGCTCTGCATCTTTGTGTCTCTGAATATGTCAGGTACGAATATGGGAGATTCCCGATGAAGGACTGAGAAGGAATTTGACAGAGCCTGTATTAGAACTGTATGGTCACAGCAGACGCGTGGGCCTCATAGAGTGGCACCCAACCACTAGTGGGATTCTCTTCAGTGCTGGCTATGACTACAAGGTAATAACATCTTTTGAAACCGAATTTGACAGTCTCAAATTCAATAATATGAGCTAAGTTAAAACATGGACAGTTGGATTTATGTGAAAACTTATTTTGATTGTCCACAGTATAAGCATGATAGTGCCATACTGCCACTCACAGAAATAAAACCATCAAAAAACTGTATCTGAGGTATGAGGTACTAATGTGCTGTTGGTATTTTTGTCTCTGTAGATCCTGATTTGGAATCTGGAGATTGGGGAGCCGGTGAAAATGATTGACTGCCACACAGACGTGGTCCTCTGTATGTCATTTAACACAGAGGGGAGTCTGCTGGCCACCAGCTGCAAGGACAAGAAGCTCCGCGTCATTGAGCCCCGCTCTGGCAAAGTGCTACAGGTGCGGATTGCGTGTGTTTAGTCTTTCAGTATATGCAGCACTCATTCTGCACTCTACATATTCGTCAAGTATGCATTAAATTGATTAAATTGAAACTTATAGTGTTACTAAAGATTTCTATTTCAAATAAATGCTGTTTCAAATCAAATCAGCATATTAGAATGATTTCTGATGGATCATGTGACACTGAAGACTGGAGTAATGGCTTTTGAAAATTCAGCTTTGAAATTTGAAATTTTAAAACATATTAAGATATAGAAGACATAGAAACATATTTAAGTTGTAATATTATTTCAAAGTATTGCTTTTTTACTGTGTAAATCTATCCTTGTTGAGTGTAAGAAACTTCTGTTAGAAACATTAAAACATCTTACCAACCCCAAAATATTTTAACCTTATTTTTTATTTCTTTATTTAATCATACACACTAATTTTATTATATGTTCTAAAATATTTTTTTTTCACTGACATCCAGTGGAATTTTTGGAAGATTTTTTGGAATAACCATAATTTTTCATGCACCCTTATTTTGTAAAATGCACTACTGAGAAAATTGTCTGCAGAACTGAAATTTTCACATGTTTTTGTTTTATATTGTCAAGCAGGAGGCAAACTTTAAAAACCACAAAGTGAACCGTGTTGTGTTCCTAGGCAACATGAAACGACTCCTAACGACAGGCGTGTCTCGCTGGAACACACGCCAGATTGCTCTCTGGGACCAGGTGAGGACAACCTATGTGTGTGGGTCAGGTTTTGACCTGATCACTTCCAACAAGGGCTGTTAAACCTGAAATCACGTGGAAATCAAGGAGGAAAATAAACAAAAAATGTAATAAGCAGAAAATATTATCTTATTTAAAATATAAATGCTAAGATGTGTCAGTGAGGGTCATGGGGTAGGTATAGTTTTTGGTGTTGTAAATACTAAATTATTTAATATAGTATAAAGGCAAATAAAGTCAAGTCTTCACAATGGCAGAAAAACAAGTGGGCGTGTCCATGTGTTCATTTACAAAACTCATCCAGAAATACACATTGTCCCTGATGTCTGCATTACCCTAAAGATTAAGATCGCTGAAAGTCATTGTTTTCTTCTCAGCATTTTCCCTGTAATTATTGTGTGAGAATCACATTAATTGTTCTAAGTGTAGCTAAACAGCTACACTCAGCTGCAGTGGAGAGAGAAAATTGGTAAAGAAGCTGGTTGCTTTGCTCTTCATACATTGTTAGGGTTCTGAGACAGTACTGTATTTCAACATTAATTTGTCAAAAGAAAAGAAAAGAAAATTTTTGAATTAATTTGTCAAAAGAAAAAGTTATTTGCTCTCATACTGCATTGTCTCTCATGACAGGAGGATCTGTCCATGCCAATCATTGAAGAGGAGATTGACGGCCTGTCAGGACTGCTTTTTCCATTCTATGATGCAGACACACATATGCTCTACTTAGCAGGCAAGGTACACATTACTCCATACTGATAAGGATTCTTACATACTTGTAATGCTTGTAAATATCCAATTCGTTCAAAAGTTTGGTACCCGTACGTTTTTTCAAGAAGGTTGCATTTAATAGTGAAAAAAGAAAAAAAAATTATATATATATATATATATATACATACACAGTATATATATATATATATATATATATATATATATATATAATTCATAATGTCACAAACAATGATTTCCATTTCAAATAAATATTGAACTTCTGTCCAGGAAAGAATCTTGAAAAAACACAATTTTAAGATATTAAGCTAAACACGCATTTTCAAAAGTGATAAGATTTTTTTCTTGAGCACCAAATCAGCATATTGATTTCTGAAGGATCATATGACACTGAAGACTGGATTAATGACTGCTGACTTTTTTTTTTAAGACATTTAAAAAAATATATATATATATATATATTATTTTAATTGTAATAATAATGTTACTGTTTTTACTGGATTGTTGATAATATTTTGAGCATAAGAGACAAAACATTAAAAAAATCTTACCGACCCCAAACTGTTGTATATTAGATATTAAAATAGATATAAAATGTTCAGCCAAATACTGAAAAGCCACATACTGCCATCACAAATGAAAAAAACAAAAACAAAGTAATTGTCTTTGAACTGACTAAGATGGTGTAATTGTAGGGAGATGGGAACATCCGGTATTATGAGATCTCACTGGAGAAGCCCTACCTGCAGTATCTCATGGAGTTCAGGTCCCCTGCACCACAGAAAGGCCTTGGTAAAACTCAAATTCTCCCCATTCAATGATCACACTATATCAGCAACCTTTGTAAAATGGATTAAAAAACTTTCGAAATTAACCCTAGAATGCAATAAATAAACAAACAAACAGTAATAAAACCCCCAAACACTTAAAGATCAAAATGACCCATATTGGATTCAGTTTTTCTTTTTCCATAGAAAGGTTTTATCTCAGTTTTCAATGTAATCGTGTAAGATTTTGTTTGTAAATGTTTAAATATTTTAATTATGATCATTTATTCATTTCAAAATATTTAAATATTATGTATATGATATAGCTTTTATGAGCAATGTATGGAATATCAAGGAATTAAATTATTTTTATTGACAAAAATAATCAGAATCACACCCTATCTTTATGCAGTCTAGGGTTAAAAAGTGGATAGCACTTTCGTTTAATCAGTAGTTTCTCCTCTAATAAACCATATATCTACTGTGTTATGATCTCTTCCATATCAAGACAAAACCAACAAATAAGCATGCCAATGACTAGTGTCTAATGTTCAACTTCTCATGTGTGTTCTGATAGGAGTGATGCCAAAGCATGGACTAGACGTAGGAGCGTGTGAAGTCTTCAGGTTTTATAAGTTGGTGACTCTAAAGGGCCTGATTGAGCCAATCTCTATGATTGTACCTAGAAGGGTGAGCATAAGCACTATGAAGAAATTAGTTCCCAGTTCACGGTTCCCAATTAAATGAATCATTGAGGGTTCCACTGAAGGATGAGAGTAATTTGTGCTAGACAGTAGACACATCCCTTGTATGAGGTCTCAGGTAATAGTTATGTAAACTGCCTTTTTAATTTTCAGTTTTACCCTGGTGGCTACAAGATGTGGCTTTATAAAATCAATTTAACAATATGCAAATATATATACTGTAGTTCTCCTGCATTCCTTGTAACATACAGTACATATGTTCAAGATTAGTTATCCTTGCTAGTTTTATGGAACTATTCTATATCTAGTTATACTGTATGTCATATGTAAAGTGTTATACAAATGAATTTGAAATAAAAAAGGATCTCTACTGTTGGTTACAAATAGTATTGGGTAATATTGTATGATTTATGAAATTTGTTCAAATTCATTTTTTTTATTTAGTAAAATGAATATATAGGTAATATATAATTAATACTAATTAAAAAACAATCGGAATCAACACAGTTGCTATACTCTGGAGTCCAAGTAGTTGTTTAGACTGAACGTTTACCTGTCCAGAGCCTTGTTATTATCACCTTATGCTAATAGTGTAAAATCAGTACAATGAACACCCTGTTTCTTTTCAGTCTGAAACCTATCAGGAGGACATATATCCCATGACTCCCGGAACAGAACCTGCTCTGTCTGCTGATGAGTGGCTCAGTGGAATCAACCGAGGTAAAAAAAAAACTGCAGTTATCTTCAGAATAAAATATTTGAAAAGACAAAGGTTGAAATTAAGCTAATCCATGTATGCATGTACACGTCTAGGTCCGGTGCTTATGTCCTTAAAAGAGGGCTACAACAGACCCAACAAGCTGGTGTTCAAGGCCCCAGTGAAGGAGAAGAAGGGTGGAGTGGTCAATGGGATTGACCTGTTAGAAAACGTGCCTCCCCGTACAGAGAATGAGGTGTTACCATGATTCTGTTAAAATTTATTATGGTTATTGAAAGGACAATTTAGCATATCTGTGTGTAACCCTTTGCGTTGTGCTCTGCAGCTCTTGCGGATGTTCTTCAGGCAGCAGGAAGAGTTACGCCGACTGAAGGATGAACTTGCACAGAAGGACATTAAGATCAGACAGCTTGAGCTGGAGCTCAATAACTTAAGGAACAGCCCAAACATCAACAACAATAACAACAGCAGCAATGGTAGCAGCATTTGACGTGGGATCTGTGCTGTTTCTGTTGATCTCCTGAAGTGACACTAGCTATAAGCCCCCAGCGCTGCTGAAACACACGGGCTTCCTTTTTCCTAACACTCAAATATCCTTCCTTCAAGACCTCTGGAGACCAAGCGCTTGTCTTCATAAAGCAGTGTTTCACTCCGACCCTCAGTGTTGACCCCACAGCTGCAGTGTGCTAAGTTGACTTTTTTGGACTGATGATTCACTTACCCTGTGAAAAGTCTCCCATCTTCAGTCACACTGCCAGTCTACCTGCAGTGGATTGATTCTCCTTATAGGGATTGATTTTGGTACAAGCTATTCATTGCATTATCATCTCATAATTGTAGACTTTAAATATTAGAATTATTTATTTCATTTTCTTGTTTCCTTTGTGTCATAGCCCTTGTTTTAAACAGCTTAATAAGTCCATATAGAGATAACAAAAAAGTGTTTTAATAAGGTCAAACAGACATGTTTCACCCATCAAGCTCAATCTCATGTAAACAAGACTAGTTCTATTGCATCATTATTATATGACTCACAGTGCTGTTTTAATGTAGAAACTCAAGCACCACAGTCCAGTAATCTTGCGACAGATGACTTTTACCCAATTGACATGCTCCTGAGTCCTGAAGTTTCGAGTTTGTATTAATATAGTAGGGGACTCTAGTCTCTATAGTAGGGGAAATATGTTCAAGTCAGTCTATATAAGCAATATAGCTTATATAATTCAAATGTTTTTTTTTTTTTTTTTTCATTTAAATAAACTTTTGCAATATAGGCTACTTGATGGAAAAAAATCCACTAATTGTAAAATCCAATCATGACATAAATTAGCAATAGATGTAGTATTAGACACCTATACACTGTAGTTCCATAGGAAGGTTCAAAGAACCTTTTTTTATTTCAGTATGATGAGGGCAATTGTTTATTTTAAAGACTGTCTGTGGTTTACAAGGCATAATGGAGCATTGTTTTTATTATTATTAACATTTAAATGAAACCTATTCCATTTTCAGTGCTTACCTTTAAATTAAGTGTCTTGAGTTTCAGGTTTGTAGCTTGTAACAATGAATTTATCCTTTCCGTTCGGATATAATTCAAATTGTTGACCTCTTATACATAGCCTAGCCTATTGCGTTATAGATTGGATGTAAATTATTGTAAAATGCATAGTATTCCGCTTTGAATTTTCAATAAGCGATTTTAAGTGTTCTATTGTAAAGTGGACAAATTCGCTGTGGGCAAATATCATGCGCCACAAAACACTACAGGTGCAGTCACGCTCTTCAAAGCGCAAAAGTTAGCCTACCTTATTAATTATTATATATGAACACATTTATTTTGCCTAGAACAAACTGGAAAAGATCGGCTTTAAAAATTGGCACACTTATTGGGCCACCTATGATCTGATCTGATGTGTTACATTCTTATCCTTCGTAAAACTGATGGATCACTTGATTCCTGAAACCTCTCAAACCTCACTCGACCAGGCAGCACGGAAAGCAAAGTCGGTCCTCCTCTGAGTGTTTGACATTCTCTGGTTGTCATTATTTAATTAAACACTATAAACATCAACCTTTTTTTCAAATATGTTGCCTTATAATTTAAATCAATCAAGAGAAACCCCAGCAGCAGCTCCTGCTTCATTATTGCATAGAGCGTTTTGAGTGCGTTTCAATGATTCTACCTTTAGGGGGCAGTGAAGCCACAGTCTTGCGCATGTGTATAGCACATTTAGGCCTACACTTGCCATGCCATGAAGCAAACACTACACTACACAGCATCCTGCTAAAGCATTAAAGAGCAGTTCAAAAACAGACAGTAGTTCTTCTTAGTTAAAATCCTAGCCTGCAGTTCACGCACACAATAGTCCTTAGATAATATCCTCATGTGGCATAATTAAAATATTAACCTACCTAAATGGGCCTAAACAAAAAGTGAGGGATATGGTGTTTGTGGCCTGTACATTCCCAATCTCATGCCTTACAATACACTGTTTATTCTTTTGGATGTTAAGGTGAAGTGAGTAATAATTTAGATGTTCACATTGCGAGGTGCCACAATATTTATGTTGTAGGCCGACTTGAGCCGCTTAATTTTGGTGTCAGACAAGATGCTCACTGTCTTGACAAGCACAATTAATTTTGAAAAATAATGCCTGAAGAATTATGAGGCAAGACATTAGGCTAATCTTTGTCTTTGATTAAACTGAGGAACATTAATAGGTAATCACTACTCTGTATTTCACAATTCATTATGATTAGCTGACTAACTACAGGATGTTGCACTAAGGGTAATTACATTCAAAGTAAAACTAACATTCCTGAGGAAGAGCATTGATATGCATAAAATACAACTGTCCAGGCTATAGTTTAATTTACCTGATAATCTTGAACAAAAATATGAACATGTAACATCTGTTACATGTCCCCACAGACTGAGAGACATTAGTTACACTGTGTGCAATGAAAGTTTCATTTCCATGTTAACAAAAATATTCATTTGAACAAAAATGCTGACTTTTATTCATGTGACATCTGAAGTCTTCTTTTTAATAAAAATTTCAATCAGTATGATCTGACAACTGGATACAGCTGTTAAAATTGCGTATGCTTTCTATTTAAATAATTGGCATGACGCTTATGTATATTTACACAATATCCAGTTACGCATCATCAAAAATATACAAGCTATTTTCCCTGAGCTTCACAATGCAAATTCACTTCATATATTCAATTAATCCGAAATATTCAAAGGTGAGATGATATACACTAGCCATTTCTGGACCAGACTCAAAAACAATCTATTGATCATGTAATCACAACTAATTACAATATATGGATTTTCTGTGGCAGTCAGAACAGATATTTCAAATTACCATAGAACCACTTGCATTTTCATTCATTTTATTACAGTTAATGGTTACAACTTAGATTATTTGTGAAAATGTCTGCCATTATCAAAGGGAATCAGAAAAAAAATATATTTGGTCATTATTTACAAAGAACACGAAACCTCTGAACTATCCACACAAAAGGGAGAAGGGGTTTAGGACTCATTTGACAAGGGCAGACATTCAGCTTTGAACATTAAAAAAATAAAATAAAAATCACATTGAGAGGTTGAACTGTGGCTGTCCAAGCATACATCATGATGTGTTCTTCATGCCTAAACAGCACGTCACGTGGTGGTGGTGGGGATTATGATGAAAACACCAAAAAAAAAAATACACAAATAAAAAAAGATGCAATAAAAAAGTGGGTTAGAAAATGTTCTTCCTTGAAATCCAGTAGTCAACTTTAAAATAGAGTCAGCCATGCACTTCTAAAAGGTTTTTGGTTGTTTTTTTCTTTTTTAATACATAAGTCATCACCAGCATTTAGGCATCAACAGTAAAGACAGGGAAAAAATTACAAGAGTATACTGGTCTGTTTTCCAACAATAATAAATTTCCACACTGTGTTGTCAGCCATTTGAAGAGCTTTTGGAGAAAATGAAGGGAATCAAACTGAAAGTACAAACCAAACCAAAAGAAAACAACAACATCAACAACAAAAAAAAGCTAAAAACAAATATTTAATCTGTGTCCTTGTTTATACTAGCCCCACCCCCTACCATTTGAATACCTCCCCAAACCATCGAAGAGTGACAATAGGACAGATATACAGGGGTTAAACGGTCAGATCACAATGGGGGGGGAGTCCATGTTCAGTCCTCATCTTCCTCCCCTTCCTCATCCAGTTCTCTTTTCCTCTTCTGACCCCGTTCCTCCTCTGTAAACACGACACAGGAGGACCAGAAGTTGTTTACTCGTATTCTCACCCTGCTTATCAGCATTCAATTCACAGGTGGTAACACTCATTGTATCTTAATCTATTCACTTACCAAAGTCTTCCTCATCATCTACCTCGCCGTCATTTAACTCCTCTTCCTCCTCTTCCTAAAAGTAAATAAAAGGCATAAATGTATACCATGTTTGTATATTTCAATACAATAAAAGGAATCAGCGTTTTCTTCCAGCATTAACCTCTCCACTGATGTCCTCTTCTTCCTCCTCTTCTCCCTCTTCCTCATCATCCTCCTCCCCCTCTTCTTCATCTTCATCCCCTGGAGCTGCATCTTCATCATACTCCTCCTCTTCTCCCTCTGCAGACAAAATTAGGTCAATGACAAATGAATTCCTTAAACGGAATTAAAAAAAAGTAAGCACCTTATCAGTCCAACCCTTCAGAAACATACCATCTTCATCATCCTCATCATCATCTAGGCCTTCAACGTAAGCTTCAGCATCAGAGTCTGGTGCTTCTTTATCCTCTTTGTCATAGCCGTCGAGATATGTCAGCTGAGGGAGCAGCTTGAAAACATTTTCTCTGTAGTCGTTCAGGTTTGTCACCTCACAGTTGAACAAGTCTAAACTTTTGAGGCTTTCCAATTTTTTCTGTTGGGAAAAAAGGACAGGGTCAAAACAATGACTATATATATAAGCAAAATAGGATATGACTCCAATGACATGATTATGGCATACCAGGGGTTCGATGGTGCTGAGGTCTTTAATTTTGTTGCCACTGAGGTTGAGATGGGTGAGGTTGGGACACTTCTCTGCCAGTACCTCCAGACCACCGGAGATTCTGTTATCACTAAGCTCGAGCTATGGAGAACATGATTCAGTGCCATATTAATTAAGACTGTGGGGCGGGGGTAGACACGAAAAATTAGACACGAAACTGCCAATTACCTTTTTGAGTTTGTTAAGCTTAGGCAAATTGGCAACTGATGTCAAGCCGACGTTGATTGTGCTTAAAAATTCCAGTTCCTCAAACTCATCAGTGAGGCCCTCAATTTTACCCTCATTTGACCGACAGTTGTCAAGCACAAGCTCTTTCACCTGTTAAAGGGCATATGAGACGAACAAGAGATTAAATGTTATGATTGATGAATACAGCATTTGTAATAGCCTCTACACAAGCAACTTCAAATCAATTAGGAGGTGGACATGGTGGATAAAGCCACTTAAATTCATACACACAAGAGCTGTTTTTAACTTTTGCAGCAAGCCAAAAGAGCACTGCATGTTTACACTTGTATAGTGGCGACCCACCAAAACAAAACAAAAAACGTAAAAATATGAGAATTCCTTATTTTTATAGTTTACATAAGCAAAAAGGTACTCTTCTTAATCAGAAGATGAACACATTAATCAAATTAGAGCACAAATAAATACGTCCCATTCGGGCGCCATTCAATTGTAAAGTTTACTTCAGCATGCGGTCTACGGTAACAGATGGGGGGCATGTTTCGGTGCTTTCACAAAATCTCACATTTGACTCCCCATCCAACAAAATGGCTGACTCCGCAACAAGCGGCGTACATTGTTATCCTGTGGGTCGAGCATTTTTACTACAGTGCGTGCGTGTGTGCTCGAACAGCAAAGTAAAGAGACGCGTAAACGATAGCCTGGGTGTTACACAAATTCATTGCATTGTCTTGGAAGAGCAAAGACACGAGGACGGACCCAAGAATTCACGAGTAGGAGGGGCAGAGAGGCGCATGATAATGCAACGGAGTCGCTCTTTAAGCGAAAGGTATTGACTTTCACGGAATAAAGATGAAATGTCCAGCTTCACAGACGCTCGACTCACTATATTCAACGGTTCTGGTCGGTTCAAATGAAAGAGACGGCGGCAACTATTCTCTTTTCGATTAAATATCGTGCGTCTTTGTTGCTGGTTAAAATGGCGGCTTGTCCTAGATCTTGCAACTAGAGCAGCGCAGCTTCAAGTTGCGTAGCGCTCACATAAGCGCCCAGTCCATGTAAATAACAAGCAGAGCCACACGGCTGGAAATCTCTTTATCCCGCCAGCTGAGACGGACAGAAGTGCTCGGAATACGGTTATGACATTTTAATTACGAGCTCTATTACAGCGTGCTTAGGTGTGCGTAAAGGGGCAATAACAGGGACATTGAGAACGTTGCAATAAATTCATCAGAGCACGTATTTACACTTGTGAGAATTGATATATAGTAAGAAAAACACGGGGGATATTTAAGAAGAATATAGTGCCGACTTGGTCTTTGCATTCTGGCAATGTCGACGACATATAATGCCGTTTTAAATAGGTTTGGGCATCTTAACGCAACTAGATATGCTGTGACACGATTCCTTTCTATACTGCGATCAAACAACAAATGCGTTCGTTTGCCCATCTAGATCAAATAGGAGACTATTATTACTAACGCACCAAAAGCCCACGAAACGATCCCGCCTGAGTATTTACACAACTTTCCTCGATTGGAAATGTAAATGCTTTCAATTTAAAAGCTTTTAGCTGGAGAGATGCCATGAAATTTAGTTGACCGATCGCGTTTATCGCAAGCTATCTGTCAAACCTTCTGCACAGCTATTCACAAAATGCGTCCCACAACAAGTTCCCGAACTGTTCAACGACCACTGTGACGGGAAAGTATGAATGTTGAATTGAAAATGGATGTGCGAAAGTGTGAGAGAGGCATGAACTGACGGCAGGCGACTTTTGCAGCACTGAGGATGCAAAGGAAAAGGGCGCGTTCGGGGGCTA